GTTGGGAAACATTATCTTTATGAGATTATATATATGTTCAGCTAAAATTTTATTTCTGTGGTAGAGGGCAGAACTGATGTCAAGAAACAGAGCTTCTGGCTTCCTTGAGGGCATGTGGAGACCTGGGCAAATATGTTTTTGTGGGACTCCATCTATTTATGCAATTTGGTTAAAAATGTGTTGCAAAATCCACAGCCTATGTGAAGTTAAGTGATTTGTTCATGGAGATTTAGATAATGGGCATAGTATAGAAGAGATACTTACATATTTGTGTACTGTCTAATCAGTGTACATGTCTAAGCATCTCTTTATGTTCTTTATTGTTAATTGCGTTATTCCTGGCTGATTTCATATTTCCCATGCAATAAAAAAGTAGAAATACTGTTATTACAATGACATGGCTTTCCATAACTTTTTGCATTGAAATAGTATACATCTTATTGTTGCGGCAGTAACTAATACCATTTATTTTAATGCTGGTTATATCGCTACTCATGATATGACATCATCTACCTTTCCACCCTTGAATACTGGCTTCCAATGATCTCAGATTGTCCTGTGCTTCCTTGATGACTACAAATGTAAGTCTTACCCAGAGTATGTGGGAAAAGACAGTTATTTTCTTGTAGTTTAAAATTTGTCGTTCTTAAATTTATGGCATAAATGTGGGACAACACGTCTTCCAGCCATGCCTTTTCTTGAACTCTTCAGGTTGGAATGACTGCATTCATAGAATGTGATCTCTTACAGTGTTGACTGCATGTCTGTAGGGCACAGGGATGAAGGATCCATGGGCAGAGAGGAGCAGTCCATTTGCAAAAGGAATGTCCGTTCTTCATCCAGCACAGTTTAAGATTGACCTGAGACAGTATGGTATCACCACATCCATTGAGGGCAAGAGAAGACATTGCCTGGAAGGGTGTATTGACAGTGGGGAGCAATGGTCTTGAAAGCCCTCAGAGGGGATACACACTCCTCTGGCCTTGAGATGTCTTTTTTTCCTGCCCTCCTTGGTGCAGGCCCTGGGATGCAGGCTGCTTTCCTCTGTAAAAGCAACCAGCAGCCACATTTCACCCTGCTGTTCTTTTCTCCAGAAGATAGCTATAGAGTGAGATATGGTGTTCTCAACCTACTGACTCCCAGCTGACTTTGAGTTTAAGCATCCAGTACCCTTAATGAGAAAGGTATGGGATAACAAGAGGAAGGTGTAAGCTTTCAGAAAAAAGTTGCTGAGTTCTCATCGTCATGGTTCCTAGGATAGATACTGTTCCTTTAGAGTACTGTAACTGGAAGGACTTTGGGACTCTTACTCTCAGTTTTAATTTCTTTTTTTTAAAAAAAATTAATTTATTTTGAGAGAGACAGAGACAGTGCGAGTGGGGGAGGGACAGAGAATCCCAAGCAGGCTTCGTGCTGCCAGTACAGAGCCCAAAGCAGGGCTTGAACCCACGAAACTGTGAGATCATGACCTGAGATGAAACCAAGAGTCGGACTCAACAGACTGAAACACCCAGGCCCCCGTTAGTTTTAATTTCTAAAATTACTTACTCTTAATTTAATTTCTTTTTTTAAAAATCTATGTTTATTTATTTTTGAGAGAGAGAGAGACAGAACATGACAGGGGAGGGGCAGAGAGAGATGGAGACACAGAATCTGAAGGAGGCTCCAGGCTCTGAGGTGTCAGCACAGAGCCTGATGCAGGGCTTGAACTCATGAACTGTGAGATCATGGCTTGAGCTGAAGCCAGATGCTTAACTGACTGAGCCACTCAGATGCCCCTCTTAATTTAATTTCTAAAGGTGAAGTTTCTCAAATCACTCTAAATGCAGAAGGCTTCTTTAGCTTCTTAGGAAGTACTGTCCAGGCCTGGCCAACCAGTCTAGGCAGAATCAAAGTTGTCGTTTTATCTCCAATGAACAGAGGCCCATAACACCACCTGTCCCTATTTTCCATTGGTGGGTGGCCTTATACAGTTTTTTTTTTAACTTTTAATTTTTTAATTAAAAAAATTGTAATTCCAGTACAGTTAACATACAGTGTTATGTTAGTTTCCGGTGTACAATATAGTGATTCAACAATTCCATACATCACCCAGTGCCCATCACAACAAGTGTACTCCTTAATCTCCATCACCTATTTCACCCATTCCCCCCCCCCCACCTCCCCTCTGGTAGCTGTCACTGCAATAAGACTGATGAAATCTATTATCTGTTACATTTTATAATCATCATGGGAGAGTGATGATTTACTCCAATTTTAAAGATGAGCAAAACGATATGCAGAAAGATTAAATAATTTTCCAAAGTGTTTCTACCTCTAAAGAACTCAGTGTTTGTATCTCAGTTGTTCTCTGAAAGGGAATAAAACACAGTGTATGCATCTGACTCTGATGTCACCTGAGAAACTGGTTTGGAGAAATTTTGATGAGCCAGTGCCAGATTGCTGTCTCATAGGGTACTTGTTCTTGGAGGTTGTAAGCTGCAAGAGGAAATATACCTCCTTAGGAGATTAAGCTGGACACAGCCTGGCCATCTGCTCTCTTGGCAGGGGCTGACATAGGCTGCCTTTATGAATAAGGGAGATGGAGCAGGGCATGTCACCGGCCAACAGTGCTGCTGGCACTGAGGCATGGAGGCAGACAAACTCCTAGTCTGGTTGACTGCTGTCAACATCTTAGAGTCCATGGAGTTGACCTACTGAAAATTGTAGGTCTGGAAGGAAAGGGATGAAGGGGAGTCTTGATAGCAGTACAGCTCCAATGGTGGAAGGAGACCCTATTTTGGCCAAACGACTCTGCTGGGTATCATGCTAGGTGCTGCAGTTAGAGCAATAAACAAGAGAGTATAGTGGGATAGCAAGACATTAAGTATACACTGATGCACATAATTATTTGATTACAATTGTGATAAACTCTATGATAAAAAGTAGAGTGTTCTTTGATAGCATATAGTGGGGAGGTCTGAGTCTGGGTGTGGGGTGGGTTTCAGGGAAGTCTTTCCTTGAGAAAGTGACATCTGTAACAAACCCAATGGGTTGTTTGTAGCACACCTTATAGATTGTTTACCAAATATCCAATTTCTGTTTCCTCTTCTTTCCTTAAAGGACTACCATCCTCCATTTTAATTTTTATGTATCCAACTTCCTCTATCCAGCCATGTTCTTCAGGGAAGATGGCCCCAGAATATAGGTCTTGATTGATCTGAGTTAATAATGATTGTTTTGCCATTGATTAGTTTAGGTATGTGTTAAGTTAGGTATGTGTTAAGTTTAGGTATGTGTTAAGTTAGAGCCTAGAGGCAACCCTTTCTTCCTCTGAATGTTGTCATGTCTGGTGACCTTGAGTGAAGCTTACTTGAGGACAAATCCCACTCACCAAAGGCAAAGCAAGAAGTTGGAAAGAATCTTGGTTCTTAGCTTTCTGAGCTCAATAAATCAACTGTGGAGCACCCCTAGCTTTAGATTTTTTGAAGTGTTTCTCATTATGTGAACCAGCTGAGTTCGAGTTTCTGTTATTTACACCTCAAAAGATAACAAGAATTATCTAGGTGATGAGTGTGAGTGGGAAGACCACTCCAGACAGAAAAACAAAGCATGTATGCCCTGAAGTAAAAATGGAAAGTAGTTCCATGTGGCTGAAGAGCAGTGAGCGAGGAGGAGTGGAATAAGATGAAGCTGGAGAGTTGGCAGAGGTCAGATCATTCCACTGTCCTTCTTGGACATTACCTAATAATTTATATTTGAGCTCCTAACAGGCATATCCAGGTTTATAATTCTTTTTTTTAATGACTCCAACAGAATGCTGAATGAATCTTACTTTTACTTCTGTATAGTGGAGAGTGGGAATACTTATAAACCTTGATGATTTACAATGTGAATGAAATTCACTTGTAATTGCTGTTCTCTAAATTACTTGGCTTATGTAACTATAGCTTGAAGTGGTTTCTATATTGTAGCTCCTGACCTGTTGTCTGGTGGGACTGCCTAAAGGTTACCCAGTCTCAGTGGCCTTGAATTGGGTCTTCAACATATAAGCATTTGGGGCAATACTTCAGAGAGTAGTTACTCTGGTTGTGTTTGTTATTATGAAGCTGGAGATATTCAACTTCTTTGGTCTAGGGATCTGAGGGAGAATCTGGGAATTCTATCAAGTAATGAGGAATAAGTCCATTGGCTCTTGCAGAAGAGTTCCCTTGTGATCTCAGCAGGTGGGAGAGGCTCAGAGGAGTAGTAGGTCCAAATATATGTCTACTGAGGGTACAGGCTCTAAGAAGCTAAATTATTAGACAAGAAACCTGCCTGCTCAGCTCAACTTGCCCATTGTCTTTGACTCTTCTGCACTTGTGGGGTGTTTGCTTATTTCTTACCAGGCTCCTCTGGCTATCTGCTGGCAGGGGAGCCTTCTCTGGATGTTAGCCTATAAGATTTGGACCCTGGATTCCAAAAGCTCGGGCTTTGGAAGCAGATGCCACCTAATAGCTGTGTGAACTTGAGCACATTATATTTACTCATCTATAAGATGGTAATGATGATAGAACTTAGCTCCTAGAAATGTTGTGAAAATCAAAGCAAGTAATCTATGATGAGGGCTTAGCACAGTGCAGATATTCAGTCTATGATATTAATTATTTAAACTCATGATTGCTAGTCATTTCTACCATCAGTATTTATGGGTTGGGTCCTGATCCTCCAATGAACACAGTATGGAGGACCTTATCACCTCTGCCATTGTCTCGGTTAATACAGTGCCACAGTACAACGGTTTACTGAGCTATGTCTTAGGCCCTGTGAAGCAGCAACAACAACAACAACAACAAATTCTACAGCTTTCAGTGTTCACAAGCCAGAAGGAATACCTTGGCTTCACCATTTATTTCTCACAGTAAGATCTAATCCAAGAATATGATTGTTATTGTGAGTCTGAATTTTAAAAACTAGGGCTGTAAAAATCTTTTAAAAAGTTTCCTGGTAAAAACAGTATTTTGATTTGTGCTCTTTGATAGATATGTTGAATCACCTAAATCTACAGATTCATTACAAGTGCCACTTCATATTCAGAGAGAGTGATTTTTTTTCTCCCTTTATGTGGACCCCTCTGGGATGTCTCCAGCGTAAGTACCGCTCTGAGCAAACCATGCTTTGCAAAGTCAGTTATTTGTTTTACTTCTGCCAGAATATTGAAAGTTTGCCTGGCGAACATTCCCTGAAATCAAAATGACTTATTATCAGGCTTCCTTTGCTTTTGATCCTGCTGCAGGATGGTGTGTTTTCCTAATGATGCAGAATCTCTCGTTAAGTTCAGGAAACAGGATATAAGGATAAGTCAATTGACTCAATTTATGGACATAATAAAACGGTCCCTATTACCTTCAGCAGTCAAGGCAAGACAAGGTGAAACACAGTGTTGTAAAGTTATTATGACAAAATAGTTTAGTATTTACCTGACCAAATAAAGTGAAAATACTGCATTTATTTTTGAAGCGGCATTTCAGACATTATGACCGAAAATTAATAGTGGTAGACGATCATTTATCCTGTCGCACTGGGATATTGCAGAGTTCACTCAAAGCCAGGAATATCTGCTATTAAATCATGGCAAACTAAAAAAAATTTTTTTTGAAGTATTTCCTTGTGTCTGCTCTATGTCTACTGTTGGCCCCACTGAGCCAGTGTTAACAGCTAAGGCATTTCTTTTTCCATCTTGTAATATAATTAAAAACAAATTTAGAAGCAGAATAGATGTTTTGTATGTTAGAGCCCTGTTAGTTTTGGGGAAGGCATTGGCAATGCACACAGCTGTTCCTGACAATTATAAACTCAGAAAAGAAAAAAAGAGAGGACAGAAACCAAATTGACCAAATATGGTTGCTTTTATCTTCCAGTGGGAAGCAAGTCTTTGGGGTGGCCACAGGAAGAATAGACGTATATCAAGTATTTTTAATCTGCTTTACATTAAAAAACGATGGACATAAGGCTTAAGGGGTATAGAAAGTTTTAAGTAAAGATACCCAAGGGGTACGTAGGATATTAGTAGCTTATGAAAATACTTGAGGTTTGGGCTAAATTTCAGTTTACTTCTGGTTTTTAGTTAATTTCTAGACTCTGGAGTCTAAAGCAATTTTATGTTTCTAAATTAAAATGGGACTGTGACTCTAAGTTGGGTAAGCAAGACTGTTGACATCGAGCAAACATGAAAAACTCCTAAGTTTTATTTTGAATTAGTAATAATCTGTTTGCATGGGTCGATTGTGAGTTGCAGAGTGACCAGCAATAAGATGCTTCAAGTCTTTGCTAGCTATCACTGGTATTAGGCCTATCCTTGACTATGAAATTGCATCTGGCCATGCTCTCTTCCTTCTCCCCCACTCTCAATCCATCTTAGCCTGCATGGCTTCGTTTTTAAATTTTTATTTGTTCTATTTGTTCTATCTCCTTCTAACATTCTGCATAATTTATTTTTTATGTTCAGTATTAATTGTTTGCCTTTCCCCCCCCTCCACTCTGCCATGTAAAGCCTGGGTCTTTTGTTTTGTTTTGTTTTTCAGTAGGCCGCACGCCCAACGTGAGGTTTGAACTCATGACCCTAAGATCAACAGTCACACCCTACTGACTTACCCAGCCCTGTACTCCCAAGCCTAGATCTTTGATTTATTCACCAATTTATTTTGAGCATCCAGAGCAATGCCTGGCACATAGTAGGTGCTCAATAAATATTTTTGAATGACTGAATTATATCCTTCTTTTGCCTAAAACATGATAATCATTTTCATTGGCTTTGTGATAAAGTGTAGCTTCTTTCTGTGGCATGTACAATCGAGATCCAGTTTAAATGTCCAAATATATTTCTTTTCACTTTTCTCCTGAATGGTTCCAGCTGTACCAAACTATGGCCTACCTTGCTTGTGGGCTTTTGCACATGCTGATTCTTTTGCTTGGATTTCTCTTTGTCCTCTTCCTGAATAACTGATCAGGTTTTGGGGACTCAGTTTAGATTTTTTTTTCCCCCAAGAAGTCTTGCCAGGCCTTCCAAGTCTGGGTTAGGAGCCCCTCCTATATATTCTGCCCTTATCATAGCAGGTTTATATGATATTGATTGCCATGGACTAACCAACTTTCTTTTTTCTCCTTTAACTTGTCAACTCTAGGGAGCAAGAGCCAGACCTACCTTGTTCATAGTTTTCTTCATATGAAATGCGTTGCTTAGCACCTTGTAGGAGCTTCATTGTATATATGTGGAATCACTGAATCAACATAAAAGGAAGGGTATGTAACTCAGACATCAGCTCCGACCATCCTACTCAGAAAGATCTGTGGAAGACTGGCTCAATGCCCTTGTCTCAGGCATTTTGACTGTTTCTCAGGGCTTATCACCTTCAGCCCCAATTTCCCTTTTGTCCCTTAATTTACGATGGTGCAGTGGTTAAGCATGTGGTCCTGCAGCTCCATCATCTAAGCTAAAATCCTACCCTTGCCATGCTGTGCTGAGGATGAGATCAGAGGAATGCAAGAAGAAACTCATCCTCCCTGATCTTCCTTGGGTTGATCGTCCTTTCAAGGATAGAATAAAGATTAGCTCTAGAAATGTATCACATTCAGCATTTGACACAAGATTAAAAAAAAAAAAAAGTGTATCAAAAGGTTTCCCTTCGTTTGAGGAATTCAAGGCATTCTTGTGTTATGTGGGAGGAAATCATGCTTGATCCAATTTCCTGAATGTATTTGTGTGTGGCTCTAGTCTATCCCAAACCGAATATTGTTGACAGTAGAGAGGTATGGAAAGGGGTTCCTGTTATCAGTCAAATGAAGGTATTAAACACAGAAAAAAAATCCTCCATGTTATAGTTGAACCTTGTGTATCTTTTTAAAAAATGAACATTTCTGCATTTATTTATTTATTTGAGAGTGAGAGATAGGGAGAGTGCACGAGCAAGGAAGAGGGGCAAAGGGAGAGAGAGAGAGGCTCTTAAGCAGGTTCCACATTCAGCGCGGAGCCCAATGTGGGGCTTGATCCCACGACCCTGGGATCATGACCTGAGACAAAGTCAAGAGTTGGACACTCAACCGACTGAGCCACCCAGGTGCCCCAACATCTGCATTTAAATTATATTGTGTTTCTTTGTACTGTTAACAATGCATCAGAACTGGATTTTTTCCCTCATCTGAACATAAAATAAAATTTAAAGAGTATTGTGATGCAAGCTTACATGCACGAACATACAGACATAGGCATACACAAAATTAAAATTGTGTTTGAGGGTATTAGAGTCATGTGCATTCCTGGTTAGACAGTTCCAATTCAGCTGGAGAAAAAAGAAAAGGTTTTGGTCTGTGACAGTTTTACTTTGCAAATTCAGAATGCTAAATGATATCAACACAAAAAGTCTTCTTTGAGCTCTTCTTTTTGTTATGTGAGAACAAATACATATTTTATGAAAAAATAAAAAATAATGAAAAGTATTGTGATGTCAAGCACTTTAACATACATAGCAGAGAAACCGATGTGGGTGTTTTGGGTTTCAGAGGACATTTAAATATGACTTTTCATACTTTGTTCTTTACAGATAAAACTTTGGCGTTGATAAAAGAAGAGCAACAGCAAATCCCACCCCCGCCATTTACTGGCCTGTTAACTTCTCTCTGCCTGAATTTCCTCAACTGCTAAATGGGAAGGATCGTGATAATCACAGCATGTACCTCGCGATACCTTGGTAAGGATTCAATTCATTTGCACTTGGGAAGTACAGAGAGTCTAAGACATAGTAGGTCTCAGTAAGTCTTAGCCCATCTGATCAACTACATAAACAAGGCTGTTGCATTTAGCAGAGTCTGCAGTGAAGTTTGACAGGTCCCATGGTTACCTCACAGCAGAGAAATGAGGCATCCCTTTTGGGAAAAGTGCTCTCCTCCCTCCCGCCATCAGGATCTCTCCCCAGTGCACTCTCCAGCAGAGAGCTCTGGCCTTTGGCTCTCTTGCCAGCCCTTCCCTTCCTCCCCTGTGCCTTTGCTTTTCCACGGTCCACACCTCTGCATTTCTCTGTGCCATGGCGGCTGGAAATGCCCCCTTCCCTCTGTCTCTTGCAGCAAACGTAAGCTCTCCTCTGCCTCAGGCGGACTTCCAGACTGGATCGACACCCTCTATGTGTTCATTCCAATGACTGGGCCGTCTCCAGCGTTAGCAGATGCTCATTCTTCCTTGAACACGGCCATTTTCCTTCAGAGGCAGCTGTGGTTTTAAATGGCAGATTGCTTTTCTTCATTACAAGTAGAAGGAAAAAATAACGATAAATACCTTAATGGCTGTGTGTGTGTGTGTGTGTGTGTGTGTGTGTGTGTGACAAGTAATCACATTGTTTGTGAAGCAGAAAACACTAACCAGTCCCAAGCTTTTGCTTTTAAGTCAATGCAGTACCCCTTTGTGTGAACAGGCCTGGTGGAGGCCTTTTACTCTAGAGAAGCATCCTTTTGCTTTCCTCTCAGAAGTCCTGCCTAAGTGCTGTGTTGGAAGCAGCCACATTAGCAGCGTTGAGCTGCTGCAACATTGTAAATGCCAGCAAATAAAAGTGTCAGCAGCCTGGCTGTGGGAGGCTGGCAGGGCCCGGAGTTTAGTGCTGTTCTGTCCAGATCGGCCTTTCGAAGGGGGCTGGTTCATATCCAGCCCACACGAGTAGTGATTCAAAGTTATTTCCTACTGATGGCTCTTCCTGACCCCAGGAAAAGGTGTTTGGAGTTCTCCAGCCGCAGCCCACCAGGCAGGAGGAGAGCCTAGTCAGCTCGAACCGCCCTCTCTCTGCAAGCGACGGCTCCATTCTAGTTAATTGGTGGCATTTCGAGTGGTTGGTGGAAGCTTCCCTACCCCCGCCTATACTGATAACAGAATTTTTGTATCACTTCTGATGGGACCCATAATCGCAGGAAAAATATAAGCAGACTTGTTTTCTTTTCACCACTGGATGTATTTATTTACAAAGAGGGACTTTAAACCACCAGAGACACATATCACTTATGGGTAGTAAAACTCTACCCCGTGATTCACAGATTTCTCGGGCTGTGCTTCCTGCAACATGGAGGGTCTGTAACAGCACAGTGCTCATGAGGGAACTTCAGCCATGTCTGTCTTGGGCCATCGCACAGATGATTCCTGCATTTGGTGAGTTGGCAAAAGCAAATAGTGTTTTAGGCCTACGGGTACATTTTACATTTGCATTTGAGAGGAAAATGCAGCTTTGGGCCTTGGAATTGACTGTGTAAAAGAAAATGCTTGTTGTGTGTAGTGAATATTCAGTGGCCTGGCTTTCAAAGCTCGTCTGTCCACCAACAGCAGGATCCTGGCTGTCTAGCCAGGCAGGTTTCTCACTCTTTGTAATGGGCATGTTAAAGTCTTGGGAAACCACAGCCAGCCATTTCAAACATGTTTTGAAGGAATGGGAAAATGCCACCGATCATTAATAAATGAAGGAAACAAGCATGATGTCAAATATACAAGTATGATCTAAACCCTGTGAAACAATGGGTGTTAGACATACACCAAAATGCCCATGGTTGGTGACAAGCTTGGGCATCTATTTCAGTCTTGTGTCTATTAATAATATCCAGTGATTTCCAGGCTTTCCATAGTGAGCATATATCACTTTTTAAATCTGCATAAAATGTTTATTTAAAAAATAAAGTGTAACACCCTACTCCCATCAGTGATGGTTTTAAAGGTTTTAATTCTACAATGAGGCAAAATCTATTATTACTCTCTTTTATTATTCTCTGTTGGAAGGTAAAATGGCCCCAGCCTTCTTTATCCATCTCTTGTGATTACTGTGTCTATGTTCACCTCGAAAATAATGATGTTTTGGGACAAAGAGAGACAGAGCATGAACGGGGGAGGGGCAGAGAGAGAGGGAGACACAGAATCGGAAACAGGCTCCAGGCTCTGAGCCATCAGCCCAGAGCCCGACGCGGGGCTCGAACTCCCGGACCGCGAGATCGTGACCTGGCTGAAGTCGGACGCTTAACCGACTGCGCCACCCAGGCGCCCCTTGGTTTTAGTTTTGATGTGAAAACTTTCACGTTTTCATTTTAGAGCAAAGTGATAAAATTCTGTAAAAAATTGCAGCACACACACATACAGCACATATATCTACATATAAACATTTGCCAGCGACGGGGCACATGGGTGGCTCAGTCGGTTAGGTGTCCCGACTTTGGCCTAGGTCATGATCTTGCCGTTCCTGAGTTTAAGCCCCGCATCAGTCTCTGTGCTGACAGTGTGGAGTCTGCTTGGAATTCTCCTTCTCCTTCTCTCTCTGCCCCTCCCCTGCTCTCTTTCTCTCTCTCTCTCAAAAATAAATAAATAAACCTAAAAAAAGAAGTTGCATAATGGTGGAAGGTAGACTATGATAAGTTAAAGATGAATATCGTAGGGGCGCCTGGGTGGCTTAGTCAGTTGGGTGTCCAACTTCAGCTCAGGTCATGATCTCACAGTTTGTGAGTGGGAGCCCTGCATCTGGCCCTGTGCTGACAGCTTGGAGCCTGGAGCCTGCTTTGGATTCTCTGTCTCCCTATCTCTCTGCCTTACCCCATTCATGCCCTATCTCTCTTTCTCTGTCAAAAATAAACATTAAAAAATTTAAAAATTTGCCACTGTTATTATTGTTATAATAAAATCTTATTTTAAAAAGTAATCAGGTAATTAGATAGCCTAAGTTGCCAAGCTTTTATTTCATTTCATTTCATTTTCTTTATTTTTTTGCCAAGATTTTGTTTTTGATATTTGACTATTATAGGGAGAAAAGAAAAATTTCTTTGTGGGATAGCTCCAATTTATTTCCTTTCTTTATTAAAGTAACAGTGGCATATATGTTTTTAATGGGTGTTTTACAAGATATAACCTTAGGTTATATCTATTCTGCCTATTCTCATGAGCCTTTCATATTTACATTTATGTTCTCAAATAGAAATTCTAGAAGTATATTTTGAGGAATAAATAGTTCCATGACATATTTTTGATGAAAGGATTCTGTGCCTCAAAAGTTTTAGAAACACTATGTACTATGTCACTTTCAACTCTATTCTCAACTCATAGACTCACATTAAATGTTTTTGAAATGTTCTGCAACTAAGAAATCCCTTAAACTCTGTTTAAAACAGTATTTCTTAAATGCATCCAACCAGGATATTCAGAAGTACTGCTTTGAAAGCACTACATGAGCCCACATCATCAAAGAAATATTAACTGACTTTCTTTTGCTGTTCTGAAAAAGAAGCAGGAGAGAAGACAAATAAAATGAGCAGAATTTTCTATAAAAATAACTCAAGAAGGGTTTTATGCTTAAGTCATAATCCTCTGCCCCTAGCCCTTTGATTAACTGCAGAGTCCCTCAGCTTCTCAAGGGACTGTAGCAGCCATTGCTTAAATTCAGGTCACAGAAACACTAGAAGCCAGAGTGTAGTTCTTTCTGGCCATCTCTGATAATTTTGATTTATCCCCTAACTTTAGGGTAATGATTGTAGTAGCTGCATGTTGATATATTTGGTGTAGACTGTTACCACGACCACCACCCAGCTCCCGCCCCCAACCCCAACACCATCCTTTCAGCTTCATGTCTTTCTTGTTTCTTGACCCCAAAGTGATTGCATGAGTGCTAGAAGTCTCCTTTTGACACCTCTTGCCCTCCCAACCCTATTACGTGGGTTGGCCAATGGGTCAGCATTCTAACAGGTACATGCATGGTCTGCAAAAGAATGGCTTTAAGCTTCTTAGCGGCAAAACTTTGACAGTATCGTGCCTTTGAGAATGTCCATGAAGTCTTCTGGGCCTAGTTTGTCTGTGATATTTATAGTTTTCAAGGACTGTGGCTATGTTTGTTTGTGCAGTGCCTAATGTATCGGAATCTTTCATTATTATCTCTTGGTGCTTTTGAAATTAGTTTTTGCACTTATTGAAGGATGGGCAAATCCGTAAACAAAGAGAAGTGGTTGGGATGTCATAGCTGTTTTATAAAAGGTATCCATGACAAGGATAATTGATTCAGGGGACTTCGTTTTCAATAAAGGAACAGAGATTAGTTTACTGTCGATCTTAATTATTCCATCCATCAACCATTTGTTGCCCGGGGCAACTGGCATCATCTTTGCTGCTTGCTAATTTTAGCTCATTTTACTTAGTGAGGCTTGGTTCTTTTGTTTCGTTTTTGTGGATTTGGATGAGGAAAGAAGGACCTGACATTTCTATGGGTGAAATTCTAAGCTGTGCTATGCTGAATTCACCAACAGATGACATTTCTGTTTTTAAGCACTTGATTGAAATTCATATACTGTAGGTGTTTGTGGATGTATGTGCAGATGTACATAAATAAACGTAAATAACATGAACCTGTAAGTGAACACCATCTAACCTACTTGCAAACAAGCCAAAAGTGAAGAGAAAACATAATTACCATCGCCAGAGGATATTTGGTCAAAGTCTCAAAAGAGTACTGAAGTTCTGGCTCTTGGAATTTAAATATGCCTAGTGTTCTCTAGTTATTATTTTTAAATTAGTTTTTGGTTTTGTTCTGCTGAACTCCAAGTACTATTCCACCTTCCTGCACATCTCACCAATGGATTCTGTTCCTTCATGTACCCTTGCTCTGTCTGCCTCTGCATTGCACTCTCTTTCTGGACTGCTTTGAATATGTGCAATTTGGATAGAAGGGCATTCTACCTGGATCCATAATGGAAGGAAGAGAAGCAAAAGACAGGAATTTGCACAGATAAGACAAAATAAAATGCTTTTAGAAAAAGCGCAATTTTGGGCACCTGGGTGGTTCAGTTAGTTAAGTGACCGACTTTGGCTCAGGTCATGATCTCATGCTTCATGAGTTCAAGCCCTGTGTCAGGCTCTGTGCTGAGAGCTCAGAGCCTGGAGTCTTCTTTGGATTCTGTGTCTCTGTCTCTTTCTGCCCACCCCTCCTCATGCTCTGTCTGTCTCTCTCTCAAAAATAAATATTTAAAAAAAGAAAAAAAAAAAAAGAAAAAGAACAACTACACAGCTAAAAATGCTGGGCACATATATTGTGAATGCAACATCATAAAACTTGTTTAAATACTGCATTTAGATTTTCAATTGTCCGGAAGGTAACTTGACTTATTTGGAGTTTTATGTTGGGCCTCAGTCACAACTGCTTGGTACCTGCTATTCCTTCTCATTGTTTTACATTCTCATCATATGACTATGCTGGGTAAATGCGATCATACCTATGCAGTTTTCTAGGATAACCAGATGAAATTCATAACAACCTAATCCAACACATTTAACTGATTTCTCTTCCCTTTTTTGCAGCATAGCAGTTAGCATAATAGTCCCGAGGTCACATAAACAGCTCCTGTCTTTGTTAGATATCCTGTTTGCAAGGAACAGAAATCCACTTAAGGAAGGTTAAGTCAAAGTAGTGCTGATTAAAATGGTATAACATTAATCTCATGGAACCCAGTTATGGGAAGCGTAGCTGGGCTTTTTGGGAACTAGAAAGCCATCAGGAAGCCACTCTCGATCTTTCTGGTTCTCTATTTGGGCCTAAATATTTTTGCATCTATGCTTTCCTTTTATGCTATTCTCTTCTGTGGTGGACAAGCTTTCTTAGCAAGACTCTCAGGTTTTTCTCCTTCAAAATTTATGCATGCACAGAGTCTGGCCACCACTTGTGATGATCTCATGATTTCAGACCTAAGACCATCAAATGGACTCTCACTGACTTTTCATTTCTCCTCTTCAAAAAAATTTTTTTAATGTTTATTTATTTTTGAGAGAGAGAGAGAGAGCGTGAGTGGAGGAGGGGGGAGGGACAAAGAGGGAGACAAAGAATCTGAAGCAGGCTCCAGGCTCTGAGCTGTCGGCACAGAGCCCAACGCGGAGCTGGAACTCAGGAACTGTGAGATCATGACCTGAGCCGAAGTCTAGATGCTTAACTGACTGAGCTACCCTGGCGTCCCTATTTCTCCTCTTCAAATGAGGGATAATTATTGATCTGTTCCAGCAGACTAATGCTTCATGAAAGCAGGAGTCATAACTGTTTGGCTCATCAGTATATTCTCATTGCCTAGCACAGTTTATGACATGTGAACTGGTGAGTAAATCTTAACTCTAATATCTGGATCTCCTGATCTTGTCTCCTATAT